TGTAGTCACCACGGTCGCGCCGGTTCACTATGATTTGCTGTTCTGAACCCAGTCACTCCTATTAGCTGACTAAAAAGGCGAGAGTTCGGTCATCAGTGTAGTGGCCGCAAACCCCGAAATAATTATAAAGTGCAGACTAGCGGTACTTATATGTGACAGTGGCCTTCGTAACTAGACTTGAACTTAATGTGATGTGACGGTTTGCGTGCCTTCGCGATCCATTGGGCTATGCTGGGTGGTGTTTCTGCACCATCAAAGCCACTCATACCAGATTGGTCAATGGTTAGAGGCCTGACAAAATCAGCCGCCTGGTCCTCCAGCTTGGGGGTTGGAGTGACGTTGGCTCCTTACTACATATAATGAACTCTATGTAGCCCGGTGACAAAACCCCGCTACCTTGCGGTTAGGTTTGAACCCTAATCGTTCTCCTGTCTAGACCAGGGCAGCCTGAAAATATCCTGCGCATGCAATACAATAACTCCACCTACGAACAATTTCCTGATGCTCTGGCCGTTGCAGAGAACAGTCAACACCGCCCTATCTGCTGCATCGAGCAGGGTGGATAGGGGTATGAATACTACTGCTCAGGCCTTCCCGTCCTATAGTCCCCCCTCTTATGCTTTTTCATTCTTATCACCTGGTTCCAACTTCACTTTTATCCCCCTGTTTTGAACCCTCCAAATCGAGGACTGCCCTCACCTTGCTTTGATAGGCGTTCTATACCATTTTCTATACCATTTCCCGGCCAAGTTGTCCACTTGGGCAACAGAAATAATCTGAGGGGGCATTCAAAATGAGTCTACTCATTTTTCAGTGGTTAGGCCAGGTGTCAACTCGTCCTACTGCTCTATCATCGCCTAATACTAATTACGTCCATTCGGCCGTGCATGTGCTCCCCGGTCGCCAAATGGAATACGCATGCGTTGGTGCAACAACACTGTTCACGAACGAGGTAAGTCACGAGGCAAGTCACGGACTTTGGTATCCGATGGCAACAACCGGCGTTATGCACAGGGGACACTGATAAGTGTCACGAAATCCTGTGCTATGTTGCAAGGCTAGTGCAAGACTGACGCAACACGGAAACAGCAAATTCCTCATCCTTGCTATTGGGGATCGTGATACTGTGTCATCGCTTTGTAACAAGAGGACGCGAGGTCTGTGTTTTTGGATGCGTCCTCTTGTTACAAAGCGATGACACAGTATCACGATCCCCAATAGCAAGGATGAGGAATTTGCTGTTTCCGTGTTACGTCAGTCTTGCACTAGCCTTGCAACATAGCACAGGATTTCGTGACACTTATCAGTGTCTCCTGTGCATAACGCCGGTTGTTGCCATCGGATACCAAAGTCCGTGACTTGCCTCGTCCAGTTGTTCGTGAACAGTGTTGTTGCACCAACGCATGCGTATTCCATTTGGCGACCGGGGAGCACATGCACGGCCGAATGGACGTACTTAGTATTAAGCGATGATAGAGCAGTAGGACGAGTTGACACCGGGCCTGACCACTGAAAAATGAGTAGACTCATTTTGAATGCCCCCTCAGATTATTTCTGTTGCCCAAGTGGACAACTTGGCCGGGAAATGGTATAGTTTCGACAAATGCAGTCGCAGGGCGTCGTTGCGGTCCAGTCGACAAGTTCATATCCAGCCAAGCGGACATCAGTTCATCACCAACTATTTGGAGCCCTCGATCCTCCCCAAGACTGGCATGCCTCAGCGTGCACACTCTGTTAAAGATTGGCCAACATGCAGCATTTGCCCGAACACTGGAGACCCTATCAATCGATATCGGCAGCTTATCAGAAACTCACCTGCAAGATTCTAGTTCTGTGGTCACCTTGTGATTCCCAGTGTGTGACAATGGCGGTATTTTCTCATTGCGCTTGTCCGAAGATGACGCAGCTTCAAATCCTGGCCAGGCCGGCGTGGACATTGCTCTGAGCCCCGGGCTGAGGCTGCCCTGATGTAGAAGATCCGAATGAACTGCCGAAGGTGCGTTATCACATTGGCTGGCTCGTTCAAAGCATAAGAGTGGCGTGGGGGCAGACGGTGCCTGTATGGCACTGCGGCCTAAGCGCCCACAAATTGTAGTGCTGACGCGATGAAAGACGACTTCTACCACCAACTGAACGCGGATACTGTGGGGGTGATTTGAACGCCCAAATTGGATAACTGTCGACTGAGGAGCTTCATCTGGGCAGCGAACACGGTGTATGCTCTCGCAGTGACAATGTTGAGCAGTTGGTAGATCTGTGTGAAGACGCTCGTTTCTTGCCCGCGAGCACTAACGTTCGACACACCACCAGTAGTGGGGTGACGTGGTGTCTAGTAGCCTCGGACCAGCCAGGGACGCAAATCGATCACATCGCGAGCAGTTACCGCTGACTGTGTTCAAAGACTGTCGCTCGATATGGGGCACGAGCGTGGACTCTGACCACACATTTGTTTGCGTCGACCTACGGATGCGTTTTAGTGAACGTCTGCAACGGTGCCGTGAACGCATAGATACTTGCCAATTGGCGAGATGTTCTGAATGCATATCAAAGTGCGCTGCCATCCGATCTGAGTAACCGCTCATTGAACACAGGTGAAGATCATAACTCACATATCTACCAGTTATTAGCAGCAGGCATGTTTCCGTGTGGCAAATCAAATTACCAACATGGTGACTGGAACTCTACGCAGTCTCTGGGGCTTCTGGATGCTCACGAACGTGTTCTGGCTTGAAACGAATGCAACAAGTCTCACAAATATCTCAGGGCTAAATTACATGTTAGAATGAAAATAGATCATGAAGCGTGGAGGCCTCTACGTGCCTCGGAGACGGAGGCAGTCGCTGCTCTTGGGTAACATCGTAAGTTAATCCGCTAAACAGGCAGCAGGAGATTTGGCGTTGGCGAGACCATGCGCGACGAGAGCGGACAGTTAAATCCACAACTTGTCAAAGCGATTGGAGCGTTGAGCCGAAGACTATGAGAAGCACTTTCCTCAATCAGAGTTGCCAGCTCCTTCATCGGCCAATGATCGCCCTACTCCTTGGGCCGTCCCCTTGGATCCACCAACACGCGCAGAAACTGAACGCGACATCAGGCGTATGAAATTGAACAAGGCCACTGTAGCAGATAGACTTCGTCCAGCCCACTTGGAATTCGAGGACCTGCTCTTCTGGATGATTTGCATAACTTGTGAATCTATGGGAGTAGGAGACTGTCCCAACAGGCTAGAGCTGCACACTTATAGTCCAAATTTTCAAGGGAGGCTTACGTTCGAGATGCGACAAGCATAGTGGAATCAGTTTTACCTCAATTGCTTAACTCTGTCATTCTCCATAGACCCGCCGGCACCGGTTAAAACCAAATTCGCGAGGACAAAGTCAAGTTTCGCCGAACTCGAAGCTGTATTGACTACATCTTCTCATTACGCCAAGTGTTAGAGCACCATCGTGTTTATTGGCGACCCACCGCAGTCGTGTTCTTAAACACCAAAGGGTCCTTTGATTCGGTTGATCTATGTACCCTTTGGGACTGCATAATGAGGAAAGATGTACCCGATAAATATAGAAATGCCATAAAAGCGCTGCACGCGCATAATCCGGGCAGAGTGAGAGTATACGGCAAACGTACATCAAAAGCTTGAGGCGCATTTGGCACCGGCGTGACATTACTCGCTTTGAAGAGTAGAGTTTATAATGTAACCGTCCGTTCAACCCTACTGTAGCGTTGAGAAACCTGGCCCATAAAGTCGAGACATAAAGAGGCCTATTCCGTTCGATCATCGCTGCCTTTTGCAGCTTAGCTCATGTCTGGTAGGAACACCGCGTCGGCAATGAATGTCTTCGTTGTCGTGTATTTGGTGCAGGAAGAGCGAGTGAATCACTCAGCACCGTTATACCACGCACCAGGCTTCGATGGCTTGGCAACATGTTGCACATGTCAGCACACAAGCTGCCGCAACGTGCGTTATTTGCGCGAACTAGGTCTGGGTGGAAGAAGAGGAGCGGAGGCCAAGCGATGAGAAGAATGAAGCCCCTCACGTCGAACTTTGCGTCGGTTGGCGTCCCCAGACTGCCGGGCTGGGGTCCTAAGGATGATGAACACGTTTGATTGAATACACTAGTTGACATAGCGAAGAGCCGACCTCATTATCCCTCTCCACCCCTGTAGTTTCCCCCTCCAACACCGATCTCAAATCTAATGCATAATGTGATATTGAAGATTGTGTTACGTTTTTAGCTTTTACAGGCTGCAATAGTTAATGTCTCATCATTCTTTGTATTAAGGCACACTACCTGAAGTGTTTCTCACCCTCGGCTAACGTGTAATGATGATGGTGATGGTGGTGACCTTGAATATTCTCTGTTCTATTCCCTGTTTACGAACAAAGTACTAAGTTGACCAACTCCATTATTCTACTGGATTTCCGGGAAAAGTTTGGATATCAGTCAATATAAGGTTCAAAGGTCTATTCCTTTCGAAGTCCTCTCCTAACAAGACTTGTGCCGTCGGATTGGCATCGCTATACTACACAGCACTACACACTAATGCACTGATGATATCACCTCGACTGGTGACGAAACGTTTGCAAAATAATTACCAAGCTCAGAGAACAGTTCATCGAACAAATGAACAACCTGAGCTACCAACATTTTTAGTACGCAAAGATCTGTACACTGCTTCGTCACTTCGTCTGAAACAGAGTTCAGAAAGGATTCAATTCGGTGAATTGGAGCGCTGATGATCGAGATTGACAAGAGTTGCATCATTCTAATCTGAGTACTCAAGCAGGATAATCTGTAACATAAACTCAAGTGGAAAGTGCTGTCCCAAACGAATCGATCTGTCAGCTCAACGCTTTTCGGGCCGAGTTGCCCACGCGATTCTATTCACTGTGGTGAGGAACTGAATGCTACGACGGCAGTATGTTGCCTTTTTCTCCCAGGAACTAGTATCATCAAGCCTCTAATCGAATTGCTCAGAAACAAGCAATTTTTTCCTGTGGTCTTTTACCCAGACGTCATTCATATTTTGTCCTTTCCGATCTTTGTGCCCCGACAGATTATGTCCTCATCAAATGTGCTCTGATTCGCTAAACGTACATTGCAAATATATTAGGGTATGACGAAGGTGAAGCTTCCACCTGTTATGTACATATAGGTTCAAGCAACTGCCTCCACTGGAGGCTGGCAGTCCTCCAGTGACATCATCGGACGCCCCAATACCACCAATGAGATGGCTCATTTCCATGGCGCCAGACGGAGTCCGGCCTGTCGTTTACGTCCATCTCGCCGGAGTTGTCAGTAGTGACTTCATTTTCTTCTGCTTCCGTCTTCTTCGCCAGTTCCGTGGATTTGGTCTTCTGGCGTTCTAGAAACGCAGTCGTTGCCAAGCGAGCTCTGTGTGCGGTAAGGTAGCTACGGGGATGCACTGGCAAGAAACCGGCAAGACCGAGTAGTTCGGCAACTTTGTCACTGGGTTCCGCACCCTGGGCCATCCAATAAGAGATACGCTTCAGATTGAGTGCCACAAGCTGTTCACCATAGTCTTTATTGGGAAACGGGTCCCATGAGCCAACCTGTTCGATGCCTGCTTGCTTAGCCTCAGCAAGATTAGATTTGATCTGAAAATGTGTGAAAGCGGTAGGTGAGGGTTCATCTACAGCGGTGAAAATGCTGAACATGAAGAGACAAGTTCGAAGCAACTCACCTGAATGGTGAAAAATGGGCGGTTAGTACAGCCCTCCCGAACTAAAACAATCCTCGGACGATGGCGATTAAGGACAGGATACATGCGTACCACGCGACGTCCTGGAACGAGAGGAACATGCTGCCAACCAGCTTCCAGATTTGAGGAACCTGAGTGATTTTCGGGGACTGAAGAAGTCGCTCGGGCCGACACCAATAGAGGCAAGGGAAGAATTCTCTCTAGCAGCGGAATGACAGTAAACGTGGTCATCGTATGCATTCAGTGGGAGTTCGAGTAGGAATTTCCCGCCTGGAATGTAGCTGAATATAATGAGCCAAGTGAAAATAATGCATAATACTGATGGTCCGAAAAACTAGTTGCATTGATAAAAAATCGTATACATTAAAGCAAAAGCGAAACCATAGCAGGTATTGTTTTGAGGTTACTCTCCTGGATCCTAACAGACCGATAGGCTCGCACAAGGTGTCACAAAAGTACATGCGAAATAATGACTGATACCAGTATCAGATCAGGTGACGAAGACAGCTTAAAAATCAACTTTTGACTTTAAGGCTCTCAATTAATAACGTGTTTTATAGTGTTCTCTTTTGAGAAACATTAAACCTTATCGTGGTTCAATGGTTTGCGTGCCTTAACAATCCATTGACCTGTGCTGTATGTTGTTTTTGTACCACCAGAGCCACTAATACTCCAGTCGCTATTACTTAGAGTCCACAAAAACTCAATCCCTGGTTCTCCAAGTTGGGGGATGGATAAGGGTGACTCTTCATTCTCGTTTAGACAGGAGTAACCTGGCAGTATCCAGCCCACACAATATCAGGTGCTCTACTTCCAACAGCTTTTTGATGCCACAGCTGTCGCAAATGACGATGAATGGCGCCAAATTTGGTGATGATGCTACTGCTAAGATTTTCCCGTCTTATTAGCTCTATTAATCCTTATCATGTCGTTCCCAATTGTTGACCTTCACCCTGCTTCGATAGGTGTTTGTCTTCTAATCTCGACTCTCACAATCGCCACTTTTGCTCTGTCAACAAGTCCATTGTTAACCAAGCGGACAAACGCAGTTCATCTGCGTTCGATCACGCTGAGACTGGCATGACTCAGCGTGCGTGCCATTTTGCAAATCTGTCAACAAGTAGCGGTTTCCAAAACACTGGAGACCCTGTTGCCCGGGAGAGTAAAATATCCCAGGAAATCGGATTGATCCAACGATGTGCAACTGAAACAACAACTCGTTTCAGGAAAGTTCGCGTACACGCGACGCGAATACTTATCTTCCTAATTAGCTGAACTTATCTACCAATCAGGACAGCTGACCTAACCGTTCTGATACGTCAGCTTTCTTTGGGTGACTTATAAATGTCCGTTGATTTCACGCTACTTGTTTCCGTTTCGGTAGTTGCTTCTTCAAAACGCTTTTGCTACTAAGCGCTGACTTCTGATTTTGGCTGGGATTCGGAGCTGTCAGGGAACTAGTTCAGTTCAGTTGGAATCGCATACAAATAGGAGTCTTAACACCTGTCGATTGATATCTGCTGTTTATGGGAAACCCGTTTTATCACTCTACGGTCCCCTTCAAGGGACTGACGGCAGGTCCTCACTGGACCGATCCGGTGACAATGCAGTTTCGAAAGTCAGTCAATTGGGTATAAGCACCGCTCTGCGTCCGCGGGCTGAAGCTGCCTTGAGCAGCTGGATCCTAATCTGTGGCGCCGGGTCGCTCTGATTAGCTGTTCTGAACCTGCGTCCTCCTATGGGCTAACCGAAAAGGCGAGGCTGCGGTCACCAGTTTATTGGTCTCAAATCGCGAGACAACTAACTGTGCAGACCAGCGATACGCAAACAGGTTGGCGCACGAAAGATCATACCACTTGTTTTGTTTATTACACATGTATTTACCATCACAAAATTACAAAATTAGTTCAGAATTAATTGTATGAGCATGGAAATTTAGTTCAATGTAGTATGTGTTCAATGTGATCACCATTTTGTTTCACAACCTCTTGCAAACGAACCTTTACATTTGTCAGCCTTCTTGCGAAGGTCTTCTGAAATTAGACGGCACAACTGCATGATCAGAGCCCTGAGTTGAGCTGCACTTGCAGGCTTCCTTGCGAAGATATTAACTTTCAAGTAGCCCAACAAGAAGAAATCACATGGATTGATGTCAGGGTTATGCGGGGGCCAGTGTCTCTCATCTTGGTGACGCTCAGGAAACCGATGTGACGTTACCCGCCCATCAAACATGTCATACAGGTAAACAAGAACTACATTTGCAGAGTGTGGGCGGGCTCCGTCTTGCATGAAACATTGAGTTTGTAATAGCAGACCTGTTGCTAAGAGTTCTGGAATAAATTTGTTTTCCAACATGTCCTTATATCGACCTTTGTTTATCTTCTCATCAAAGAAAAAAGGTCCGATGATTCCATGGGATGAAATGGCTGCCCATACACTGACCACTCCGTTAGTTTCCCTCTCGTGCAGAATGTGAGGATGTTCACTTGTCCAGAGAAGAACATTTTGCCTATTCATTATACCATTTAAATGAAAATACGCCTCGTCAGTAAATCACGTGTTGTATAGAAGGTGATCCCCTTGCAATAACCATGAAGCGAACTCATTGCTTCGTTGCTTGTCCTCTGCCATTAATTTATGGACAAAGATTATCTTGTAAGGGAACATTTGAAGATCAGAATGCAGAATGCTTTGTATGGAGCGACGAGATATTTGTAACTCAACAGCCGTCCTCCTTGTTGCTTTGCTGGGACTTCGTGTCAAAGCAACGCGAACTGCTCTCATGTTTTCAGGGGTGTGGACACTTGGTCTGCGCCGTCGATTCTTCTCCACCACAGAGTTAGTTTTTCAAATTGACGATACAACCTCTGAATACTCTGTTTACATGGAGCCCATTTTGTACGAAAGTGTGCACGAAAACACCTTTGTTTCGCTACAAAACCCATCGTTTCTGTTCAGCACTCAATCTGCTCTTATGCATCATCTTGAAAATATTGTTTGGCGCCAAGAAAATATTCCATGCAAACTTCTTGTTACATCTACCGGATTTTTCATAAAACAAAGTATAAGGATACGAGTTTTCAACACTACAACTATTATATTACATGTATAATGAACAAAACAAATGGTATGACATTTCGTGCGCCACTCTGTAGGTTCCAGTGACCTTCCTAAATGTCCTATTTTCTCTTTCATTCCACGCTAGCCTCCCCGTGGTGCCAGCTGGGTGATTCGGGTTGTTGAAGGACCAACGCATACTCGAAGCCCCACAACGTCGAGCAACCAAACTGGTCCGAGGTCTCAAGCACCTAGATTATCCACAACGATTTCAGTGCCTGGGCCTCTACTCGCTTAAGTACCGACGTCTACGGGGCGACCTGATCCTCGTATTCATGATCTTATCCAACCCTGGACATCCCTGTCGCCACCTACTCACACTGCACCAATCGGGCTCCCACCTACGTGGCCACCCACTGAGGCTCACATATCAGCACAGTCGGCTGAACTGCAGACGACACTACTTCGCTTTGCGAATCTGCCGACCGTGGAATGCTCTGCCTGCCGATTTAGTCTTGGCACCCACTGTGGCGCACTTTAAGACCCGCTTGGACGGGTCGAGCTAAACCGCGATATTCCCTAATTTAACTACATTCTACTGGATGGAATTTCTTTCTTTTTTTCTTCTACCTACTTCCTTTCCAAAGCCGTTTCGGAGGGCGTGGTGGGATGTCTCGCTTTGAGCCGGCGTGCATTCTGTTTAAATGCCACATAAGCTCGATGAAGATACGGCTAACACGCGAGTCCAACCCGCTATAAGGTTGCTTGGCCTTTCATTAGACCCGACCCGAACTCTTTTTACCCTATGGGTCATGTAAAGCTCGAGCTTTTATTCCCATTAAATACAATGTTCCAATGTACCCCGCTCCGGAAAATAGTTCGGCGGCAGTGTTCCAGGATGTGGTGGGTTTTCGCCTGACAATCGTTATCCCAAGAAAAAGCCACAAATGCCTGTTTAACAACACTGCGACGTGGCGGTTGTGACTCGGCACAAACCAAAGGCATTGCTCCTTGCTTATCCGGATAATCATGTCCAATCTACGGACGTCAATCATTTCTTCCCACATTGGCGACGCGACCAATCAAAAATGCAATGACATTTACAAACTCAAGCAACACAGCCACACATACACACCATCCATCTTGTATTTTCGTACATTTCCGGATCACTCGTTGTCCTCTCATCATGACCATGCCTGTACAGGCGTGTCTCGCACTGTCGAAGATAAACAATCCATGCTGAAAATGCACCTACCCGGGTACATAAAGTCTACTTTGACTTTGACTTATTTACTAATGAGTGGACGGATGTAAGTATAATTTCATCCGGTCCATCGTAATCAGATTACAGACCGCATAGGTGAGCTACCAATCCAGAAAAGCACCAGAGGATCGTTACGTCCTACTGGGACCTCTCAGTAGTGCACATTCCCTCGGTCCCCTGTGAGGACCGAGCTCATGACCACCGGTTGTTTGCACTAACCAGCAGCAGCTTATGCCACTGAGCCATGGGCGACAATAGCCAACCATCACGGATTGAAGTGGAGGATGGATCGGGCTATATCGTAGTTAGATTTCAATCCGTGATAGTTGGCTATCGTCCCCCATGGCTCAGTGGCATAAGCTAGTGGCACAAATCACCGGAGGCCATGGGTTCAATCCCCGGCAGAGGACGAAGGAATGCGCACGAGTCCCAATAGGACGAAACAATCGACTGGTACGTTTCCGGATTGGTAGCTCACCTATGCGGCTTGTAGTCTGATTGCAATGAACCAAATACAATTCATTTATTTATTTATAACATTAAACTGTCTGAGAATTTTCTTCGGATCGACTAATGCGATTGTCCCACTAAATTATTGTGAAAAAGAAAAATATCTACCGATATATTGTTCACTGGTCTATTCCTTAGGAGGCGCTGTATTAATATAACCTATTTAAAGTTCGATGTTATATGATTACTGTACAGGCTTGACAGAAGCCTTGCAGAGATCCGTTTAGGAGAAACTGGTGGAGTGATGGACTTATCATGCTGAGTAGCGTCTGCAGCTAACAGCCTGAATCCTTCCAGGAGACGTGACCAATGCATCCTCTACTCTGCCGAATGATAGGTATCTACTGAGTTGGTTGATGCGGCGAATATACTTGTCACCGCCTACGGCCACTTCATAGCAGATAAGGCCATACCTTTTTGTAACCAATCCAGGTATCCAAGAGTTTGCCG